CTGGCACTTGACTCAACAGTGCTTGTGCTACATCCTTTTTACTCTAGATTATAAAACACTGCATTCTGTCAGCAATGTAATGCAGCAATAACTTACGTATAGAAACCTCGGCTTGTAACTATACTCTAATTACTATTTTGAAAATTATAACACGTTAAATTACTCCGTTACTAAAAAAGTAATCAAATTACAGTAAAGCATTGCAAAGTAATGCGTTACTGCCCAACACTGCTTATAAAGCACATATTAATGGCTTATTCTGCATGACCATACGATCCGTTAATCCATCCCATGGCTAAATTTAACAACTACCTTACTAACTATTAATGAGCAGCAAATTAGCAGTCTATTGAGGGAAAAATCTTAGTTAATAGTGAATAAGTGTTCCCTAATCTAAAGTGTTACCAAATTTCTTAATTACATTTGAACATTCAGGCTTGTGCCCGAGACTCTGCGGTACTTATTAATGATGTTTTATTAACAAAGTTTGGGAGGGACACGTTCAGATAATCAACCAATTTAGCATAGGTAGAGCACGTTCAGAAAATCAACTTAATTAGCACAATAGTAAATATATATACAGCCAGCTTACCTTTGTTCCACAACAGTTTTCTGGCATTCCTCCTCCACCCCAACTCCTCACTCCTAACTATTCCTATCCCAGCTTGGGATAGTGGGGGAGTTCTCTGGGTTTGGGCTAAATTCCGAGCTCGGAGCCCTCCCTTCGGACAGCATGCCAAATATGCATACTTGATCAATCTGATTATATGTAAGTGCGAACTTATGAATACAATATATAACAACACAAAATACTAAAAAGTAAAACCTAAAATTTGCTTTGCTGTAGTAAGAAACTATAGACATAACAGTTTTGAATTTAAGGATGTGTATTGTGAAAAGTTCTATACAAATAAATTAGACTAATCACCTTTTGGTTCCCTATCGAACGGTCTCTCCCGTTGCATTTAACGTAGGAAGGGGAAACTCCTGTTTACTCTGTTACTGAAGCCTGATTTGTTCATGTTTGTATAGCTGCACAAACCAATGGCGCTTTAGCCCACCAAAAAAAGCACCATTTTCATCAGAATCGTCTCCTTCAGCGACGAGGATCATCTCTTCGCTGACTATGCAATTAAGAAGCCGAATCAAGAAGGAAGAAGCTCAGCCTGCTGCTCGTTACCGTAGAAGGAGCCCTGGCAGAGGAAGAAGCCAGAAGCCTTCCCCTGCGTCCATCTGGCACAATAAAAGAGCAGATTTCTGAGCACATTTCCTAGCGATGTTGTTGCAAATGTTGCTCTGCGAGTGTGGCTCGTGCAGCTCATGCAGGGAACCCCTGCACAATGCAGAAGGGCGCAGTGAGTGCTGTCGCCTACGCAGAGACTATGCACTCACTGAGATGGAATGCTCTCACAGAGAGCATGAGTCTCACTCTTCTCCGCTCGCGAATCGTCTTCTTCAGTGAAGTCAGCCCCGCTCTCGTTTCTCCTTTCTCAGCGAGCTCGGAGAAAGAAACAGTGGAATCGCGGAGCTGAACAACCGGGTTTGAGTGATCTCACGCCGGCATAGGTCCCGCGCTCACTCTCCCCACAGCACTTTGATCCGCCGGTGTGTTTTACACGTAATGATCACCACCCCTCATTTACATTGAGCGGCTCAATCCTTCTAGGTGGATCTGAGTAGAATGCTATCACCAATGATTCTGTATCGCTGACAGCTTCACATTTGTGAGTGTGCCTCTGAGGCTGCGCTCAATGAGAAAGGCTGCTTTCACTGCGAAAGCATGAGTCTGTCCCTGCTTCGCTTGTGGATCGCCTTCTTCAATGAACTTCACTCTCCTCACAGTACTTTGATCTGCCCACACGCCCACGCTGTTCTCACTGAGACAGACCGCTTTCACTATGAGAGCATGTGTCTCACTCTGCTTCGCTCGCAGTTCGCCTTCTTCAATGAAGGCGGCCCCGCCCCTCCGGGTCTCACGTTCTCCCCTTTCAGCTGCCTCGGAGGATGAAACGGTGAAGTTAGTTCTCACTCCCTCGTGCTCGCTCTCCATCCCTCCGTTCAACATTGAGTGATGGATGTTTTATTCAAGCTTGGCATGTCCTTCTCATTCAGTGCGTGCATAAGCAAACTACCACTGTGATAGCGGACCCACAAGAGCAATTCTCCTCTCCTTATTACCACAAAAGTCAGTTCCCCGCCCCATGGTGGCAAACTACCGTTCGTAAAATGGAACCACTTGCCATCCGGCTCCGGGCTGAGAACCCATCCCGGATGTTTCAAGCTGGGTTCTATAATACAAGGTTACTTGCTCCAGTTCACTCGCAGGCCGCCTTGTTCAGAGGCATTATTCAGACTTCGGTACAGGACAACAAAGAGCATGTTCTTCAGTCCGAATTACAAACACTGCATGCAAAATGTGCCGTGGGATGGTACCTCTAGCAAACATTGAGTCAGGCTTTTTCAGCTGCTACTTCCTTGTTCCCAAGAAGATGGCAGGCTCAGACCTATTCTCGATCTCAGGCATCTGAATCGCTCACTAATGAGACGGCCGTTCAAGATGTTAACTCTAAAACAGATCCTTGCACAAATATGCCCCGAGGACTGGTTTTTGATGTGGATCTGAAAGACGCTTATTTTCACATCCACATAGCCCCTGTCACAGACCGTTCTTAAGATTTGCATGCGAGAGAGTGGCTTATCAATATACAGTCCTGCCATTCGAACTGTCTCTGGCCCCACACACTTTTACAAAGTGCATAGGCGCGGCTCTTTCCCCTCTGAGACAGATGGGAATCCGCATTTTGAACTACCTCGATGATTGGCTGGTTTTAGCCAGATCAGAACGGGAACTGGTCGCTCACAGGACGCTTCTGCATCAGCCACCTGGAATGCCTTGGGTTGAGAATCAACCTAGCCAAGAGTCATTTGTCACCCAGACAGCTAGTGGTCTTTCTGGGAAGATTATAGACTCTGCCCAGATGTGGGCTTGGATTATGCTGGACTATTCAGCGACTGGTGGCATCTTTAAAACTAGGGACTTTACATCCCCTCAAGGCTTTTCAGAGGATGCTTGGCCTCATAGTGGCCATCTCCTCTGTTATTCCTCTAGGCCTGCTCCATATGTGGCCTCTCCGACTTCGACTCTAAGCCCGTGCCCGTGCCCGTCCTGGTCTGGCGGACAACATGACGTTGGTAGCATACATCAATATCCAAGGAGGTCTCAGGTCACATTCCCTTTACAGGATGGCTCGGTGCCTCCTATTTTGGGCACAGAGCAAACTCACTAAGAGTGGTTCATGTGCCGGGCAGTCTGAAACTTGGAGCAGACAAGCTTTCCAGAGGCAATGTGGCCCCAGTAGAATGGACCCTACATCCTCAGATGGTTCAGGAAATTTGGTCTGTCTTTGGGAGGGCAGAGGTCGACCTCTTCGCCTCAGAAGACAACTTTCACTGCCCAACTTATTTCTCAATGCAGCGAGATGCCCTGGCCCACGACTGACCCAGCGCTCGCCTATATGCCTTCCCTCCAATCGTCCTGCTTCCTCAGGTCATCAGACGGGTCAGGGAAGTCAAATGCTCAGTCCTCCTGGTGGCCCCGCTCTGTAGGAACCAGGCATGGTTCACCGAGTTAGTAAAGCCGTCAGCAGCAGCCCCATGGCCGATACCATTGAGGCAGGACCTTCTCTTTCAGGCGTAGGGCATGATTTGGCACCCCCGGCCAGAGCTGTGGAGCCTTCATGTATGGAGCCTCGACGGGAGCCTGTACAGCTCCCAGCAAGTGTGAGCAACACCATTTTAGAGGCTAGAACACCATCTGCAAGATGCCTTTACGCCCTTAAATGGTCAGTCTTTCGTGACTGATATTCTGCACGAAGCCTGGATCCGGTCTCTTGTGACATGTCCCATGTGCTAACTTTCTTACAAGAGTTGCTGGACAACGGGCTCGCCCCTTCCACACTCAAAGTTTATGTGGCAGCTATCGCAGCGAATCATACCCTCGAAGTTGGCCAATCGGTCAGCAGAAACGATCTGATAGTTAAGTTCTTGGAGGACACCCGGAGATCCTCCTCGTCATCAGACTGTGCTGACCTGGGGCTTGTCAATAGTCCTAAGGGCCCTACATGGCCTTCCCTTCGAGCCGCTCCATTCGGCCGAGCTGCGACCCATGTCGCTTAAGCCGCCCTCCTATTTGCATTTAGTGTCGGTCAAGCGAGTGGGTGACTTGCAGGCACTGTCAGTCAGTGCTTCCTGTCTTAAGTTTGCTAACGACTGCCCTGCAGGCACCGATCTAGTCTGCTTAATCTGCCTCTTTCTCCCTGAGGGTGGAAATGGTTATGCCTGTAGTCCTCGGCCAATTAGCTCGGGATTCAGTTTTGCTCATGTTCTTTAGGAGACTGGGCTCACAGAGCAGGTTGCTCTGTATCTGCTCATAGCACGGCATGATTGGATGCGTTCCCCATACTGCATTAAACGCAGCGGGAGAGACCGTCCGATAGGGAATGCTCCGGTTACTAATGTAACCTCAGTTCCCTGAGATAAGGGAACAAGTGTTGCGTCACTCGTCGTGCTATAAACTGCACACGAATCGATGACTGTTGCTTCAGTCGAATGGTTAAGATGAAATGGAGGTCTGAGCCGATTTATATTGAGGTCAGCTCTGCCCCTTTTGGCAGGCAAAAGCGCCATTGGTTTGTGCAGCCACACAAACATGTACAAATCAGGCTTCAGTAACAGAGTAAACAGGAGTTTCCCCATACTGCGTTAAACGCAACGCTCGTTCCCTTATCTCAGGGAACCAAGGTTACGTCAGTAACCAGAGTGTTATGATCATTTATAAAGACAAATATGTGTTTTATTTGAAAGAATGGGCAACTGATGACTCGTGCACTGTAAGAATTTGAATTAAAGTAGTTAAAATGTTGTTTCAAATTCAAAGTATTTATATTTGCTTGGTTTCTTGCTAAAATATATCTAATTTTTCTTCTTCTTCTTGGATATAGTATATGAGGATACGCACAGTGAAAGGCCAGGAATATTGTTGCAGATCTGGGGTAAAGTTCCATGGAGGAATGGGGCAGAAATTTTTTCTTGCTGACTGCCAAAAAGTGTTTTTTGGATCATATAGGTGAGGCGGCATTTTTTATTATTAATTTAATAATAATAATAATATTTTTTTCCCCCTTTGGGTTTCCTTCAGGTTCATACATGTGCCCTAGAAAAACAACCATAGTTGTTTTTATCAACCATAGTAGTTTATCACATTAACTGTGGACATATTCTACAGTACATTTGACAACCAGAAAGTGGTCATATACTTTTGTATTATTATTATTATTATACATATATATTTTTTTAATGTGTGCAATTTTTGTGATGTGATTTGCTCAAATGTAAATAAATGGCTATTGATTTGATATGATTATAAAATCCAAAGTCATTCATGCTTTTTAAAAAAAGTGGCTTAAGTCTCCATATACTTCTCTGGGCCACTTTATACAAGGACTTGAAAAACATTTAACATATGTCAACAAACAGTGCAAAAATTGCTGACTTTCAAAAGCATTTTTCAAAAGATTGCAGTTATTTATAACTTACCAAAGATAAACTGCATTCCAACACACTTGCATATGTTGCTATGACTGAAATTTAATAACTATGTTTATGTTAATTTCTTGTCTGACAGCTTCATGTGGTCCTACGAGAAGATAAACCTCAGCATGGTTCAGGTTATAACAGGCCAATTAGTGGAGACTTACGATGAGGAATTTCGGACGTTGTACGCTCGATCAACAGTCCCAGCTCAGTTTCAGACTGCCAGCGTGAACCAGTGTGAGACGAAGCCCAATGGAAAAATGGATAGTTATCTGATTCATTCCAGCCAACCCTTTGAAAGGAAAGATCATTTAAGGCATACACTTGATGCTGTTTACCGGCAAGCCTGTGAAAGGAGATCAGGATTTTCGGCACTGAGAGAGGTTGAAGAAAGACCACTTGTCACACCACATGCTCGATTCCTTCAAGACACATCAGAGTTTCACAAAAGACACAGCTATGCAGGAGAGCGACAGGAGCCTGTGTATCTGCCAAAATTGCCCAAGTATGGCACTAGTAATTGGAACGTGGCAGCAGAGAGCAACCGTTATGCCGGATTCTCCAACGATGTGGACAAGCAGTATGAAAGTTACGTCATCAACCCGATGTTCAGAGGCTCAAACATGCGCCAATCTTACCACGGCCACGACAAACAAGTTCTCAACATGAGGCAAAACCTGCCCAGTTTAGCAAGTACTTCCAAGTCTTTCCTTCGGACATGGAGGATAGAGTCTTACCTCAACAACAACAATGATCCACCTCACGGCGAGAACTACGATTATCTGGACCAATTTGAGGAGAATAAAATGGCTTCTCCACAACACTCCCGCATCAGGTCATCGGTTGTTTTCACGTCCACCATACCAGAACAACCAGAGACAAACAGCTACTCCAATAATTCAGCATCCTCCAACCACGATCCGGCACGAATTCAGTCAAACGCTCAGATGTATTCTTCAACCCTGTGGAATCAGACAGCACAGCACGATGACTACATGCTAAAGAGGCGCAGTTTACAGATTTTAGAAAACTCAGGAAGTAGCACGACCCATGGCTCCGGACAGGATGCAATATATGCAAGTTTAAACAGAGCCAAAAATAGATTTGTAAACAAGGAGCATGACTACCAGCAAGATGACCGATACAAAAGGCACAGCGTGGCCGATCCCAGGTGCAATACATATAACAGCGACTTGAATGAGCCCTCTAATAACATGTACGCATCTTTACCTAGAAGACAGAAAATCTGCAACATGTCTGCAAATGAGAATCCCAGAAACGAAGCGTACACACCAAATTTCAAAGAGGACCAGAGGTCCGTCTCACATCATGATTTCAAAAAGGCAGATGAGAGCACATCTACCTCAGGAAACATATGGCAAGAGCCTCCCTCGAGAACTGTGTCAGCAACGCTTCTGGACACGGAGGACAGTCAGCCTTCAAAACCAAACAGCACATCATCGCAGCGCTTCTTGAAAAAGAGCACCAAGAAAATAAAATCCATTCTAAACATCCCACAAAAGGAAGACAGCTCACCGAAAGGAAAGAACTCAGAAAGTCTTAAAATAGGAAGCAGCACTGATACAATTCTCTCAGATTATGATGACACAGCACAAGGCAAGAAATCCCAGGATAGCACTGCCAATTCCACCAAGTCCGTTGAGAGCAGCAGACTGAAGCGAGCTAATGGGAAGATCTCTGGAGCTGAGAATCGCTCTCCTGGCCTGGCGGGAGAGGCATCTGCGCCTCGGTTTATCACCGAAGAGCTTCATCCCTCTCACACCCCTGCAAGTGCAGAGACTTCCAAAACACAGGAACAATCCACGGTCGTTTCTCAAAACGACAAGACAGACTCAACACTAACCAGATCGGATCTGTTGTCAAAGCAACAAGTATCAGCAAACAGGCTATATAGCAGATTTGAGCCACTTTGCTCATTTGAAAGCAGGCGTCCCACCGCAGGCCAGCCTGCCTATGTATCTGCACAGAGTCACGTAAGCGAGAAAACAAGGAATTCTGTCTTTTTAAGAAGACAGCCAATGAATGACCATAGCACTTATACAAACCAGCAGATGCAGGGACATGACAATAGAATTGGCCGTTTCATTCAAAGGGTTGGAAATTTAATACACAAGAATAAGTACTGAAACAATTACTGAAATGACGTTGAAGCGGAACCGTGCCATTTCTGCACCACTATATTGACAAAATGGAATTGCAAAAATTGCACAAAGCATTTTTAAACAGGTCTCTTAAGCACTATTTTCCACTTTTCAATGGTCAGACTAACAGATAGTCCTGCCCCTAACTAACGCTAAGGTTATGTCAGACTGGCTGGCTTGGTCATGCTTAAATAGCTTGTTTAAACTGTCTCTGCATATTAAACTGGGATAAAAGAAAGTATTTTAAGATCCTAAAAATTACACATTTTGGCTTTCAAAATGTGCAACAATAATGTTTACTTGAATGCATTATTGCTAAAGCCAGTGTTGAAGGTTTGCAATATAACTGGTGGAAAATGCTGCAAGCACTGTTACACTGTTACTTTGTAGTAGATTTAGTTTTATTAATATTATTTGTAAATTTAAAAGTAATGTTTTGAGTAGGGATAATGGGCAGATTGGGTTAATAATTTCTGTCACTTGAGTAAATGCTATTTTGAAACCTTGCTATTACCTGAGAACAAAACCTCTTAAAAAATTTTTTGTCTGCTTACAAGGTGTACCATAAACCATCCATACAACAAAATTGCACTTCAGGCTGGACAAAAGCTTCCCAGAAATAACCAAGATGGTTGTTTTAAAGTTGACATTGCTGGAAACATGCAAGATAAATAAATGTTAGTTTGTGGGTAATTGGTGCTTAACTATCTTTAAGGGTGACCATACTGGCATATACTGCACTGGCTTATCTATCTATAGGTCATGACGTTGTGGGTGTCGTGATTGACCCAAAACAGTTCTCTATTAAATATGTGAATTAATGACTCTCATTTCAAAAAGTGCACATGTACAGTTCAGTATACTGGACAAATATCAAACTGGTCAAATATCAAAATGTTGTTCTCTTACTAAATGGGACCTTTTTATTATTATTATTATTATTATTATTATTATTTAAAAAAATGTTCACAAAAACAATCAATGTTGCTTGTATCCCAACAGGGTACTTACCAAATAAATGAATGGTCATGAAACTGATTGATGTTGAAACTGTGTTATATGTGAGAAAGAGGCTGACATGCTACAAGGAAAAAAAATCCATTTGACTACAGGAAGATAAACATTCAATTTATTCACTTGTTTGGGTTTACTAACAACAAGTTAGATAACAGCTTATATCACATATAAAATATAAAACAGCTTTAATCAATGTGGTCAGTATTCCTGGACTTTATACTGACACCTACTGGTGAGGATGCAGCATCACGCAAAAGCAAATGTCCTTAAAGGGGGTGTTAAGGAGAATCGGCTGGTCACAGGATCTCAACATGAGGTGATTCACCCCAAAAGCCAAACAGCTTTTATTAGGCTACTGACATGACTGGACTCATCATCTCATGTGCACATCAGTTTTAGCATATCTGTTAAATTTACTATTAATTTCTTAAGAGGTAAAACATTGTAATGACAAAAGTGCACCTATTCTGTTGTCCATGGATTACAGTCTTCTGTTGGCATCATAATTAGGTCAAATGGGAAAAAAAAAACTAATTCAATTTCTTCTTTGAGCATACAGTGGTGAAACAGCTTTAGCAGGTTCTGCATTATTCAACAAACTCTCATGCCATGAGATTTTATTTTTAAATGAGTTTCCATTTTAAAATTGGGTGAATTTAAATTTTATTTGTTTAAATTTCATACGCTATATAAATAATTTATTTGAATTCTTAAGAAATGTCAAAGTTTTTACAAACTCGGTGGCTCAGGAGGTAAAGTGTTGGGGTATAGTTGTGGACTTGTAACCCGAATGTCGTGGGTTCGATTCTCAGGACCAGCAGGAAATGTAGGTGGGGGGAGTGAATGAACAGCACTTTCTTCCACCCTTGAGCAAGGCACCGAACCCCCCATTGCTTCCCAGGTGCCGTAGCAAAACTGGCTGCCCACTGCTCCGGGTGTGTGCTCACGGTGTGTGAGTGAGTGTGTTTGTGTGTTTGTGTGCGTGTGTGTTCTCTACTCACTCCTGTGTATGTGCAATTGGATGGATTAAATGCAGAGCACAAATTCTGAGTATGGGTTACCATACTTGGCTACACGTTACTTCTTTTCACTTCAATATGCAATGTATATTCATGATGCTAATGTTAATGTTTAGAATACCGTAATAGCTAATTGTCCACATATAGCAGTAAAAATATAGCTTTGAGGAACATCCAGAAATTAATGGTAAAGTCCAGATAGATCCAGTGTCCATCCAAAAGCTGAAGTAGTTCATCTCATGGTTTATTATGGAAGGCCAAGAGATGCAGATGTTGATCCATTGAAATGCCAAGTGATTGCTTGGCACAGGTCGTAATTTATAGACATTGGGCAGCAACATCAAGCTGAGCTGGATCTGGTATAAGCTCTAGCACCCTCTGAATATGAATCCAAATGCAAAAAGACTAGTATTAGTGTAAGATACCATTCAGTTAATTTAATTAAAAAGCAGAGCTTGCGATTTTGCACTTAATCAGATATAGTACAGAATATGCATATTTGGTGTACTGTCCGAGGAGATGGCTCTGAGCTCGAAATTTGACCCAAACCCATAGTACTCCCGCCATCCTTGGGTGGAATAGGAATAATCGAGAGTGAAGAGTTGGGGTGGAGGAGGGATGCTGGAAAACTGTCATGCTCAGAGCTAGGTTGAGCTAAATTGTGCTGATTGGGTAGATTATTTGAACATGCTCCTCATGAACTCATGAACATAATTTGCAGGGAATTGGTTTCTAATTCGTGTGAATTCTTAAGAAATCTCAGTCGTATGTTCTGCTTATGCCCCTCTGAGGGTTAGGTTTCGGGGTGTACTGTCACAGTGCCATTTTACAAATAAACCTCATGTTTTTGTATAATTTCGTCATCACTTACATATTCTTGTTAGATCGGTTTACATTATTATGCAACCCTAACCCAGCTAATCATTCCAGATAAGTTTGTGAAATTAAAATATTTTCATCCAATATGACAATTATACTCATAATAATGATTATTTACTTTGCACGACCTTTACTTTGCAGAATAATAATGCTTCAGGTGAGAACCAAGAGGCAGGTGTCGTGCACAAATGAGTTGACCTTTCTGTGAGCTAGGGGATGTGCATCCAGTACCAAAGTGAGAGACTGCAAAAGTCATTTCTGATGGAGTTAGTGTAAGTCAAGGGATAAAATGCATGGTACATATGAATAACAACCTGAATAACAACCATATGAATAATAATCAGGATACATTTGCCTTTACTTGAAAATGGAGACATACAGTACATACACAGTAGTTCTACGAATGCTGACGTTTTGTGCATCTGAATAATTTCAGGGCAGCTTTAATGGTGAACGTCTCGGTTACATATGGTAACCCTCGTTCCCTGAAGGAGGGAACGGAGACGTCACGTCGGATGACCGATGAATTGGGATCTCGCTTAGAGAGACCAATCTACTTCGAGTGTAAACTAAACGAGCCAATGCACATTGGCATGCGATTATTGCATCCAGCTGCTGCTGATCACAGTGTGAGTATAAGTAGGCAGCAGATGCAGCGCATATTCAGGTTTTCACTGAGGAGCCGAGCCGGTGACCCGGCCGCTCAGCGGTGGTACAGGAGCTGTGGCGACGGGACATGACGTCTCCGTTCCCTCCTTCAGGGAACGAGGGTTACCATACGTAACCGAGACGTTTTCTATCTAAGCTCCAGATGATGGGATCATGAGATCACAAGACCCCTGAATATAAGAAGAGCACTCTGCTCTCCCATGTCTCTTACCTTTGCCTGAAAGAGCCTGTCTTCCAGAGATTCAATATCTCACATTTACACCTTAGAATGAAGAAGATGCATCTTGAAAGCTGAAGCTGGTCTAGAGGCAGAATGGACCATACACATCTGATAGGAGAATTTGTTCTTGGGGAAAAGAGACTAGCTATGTTCACAAGACAGTAAAGCAAGTCATTTGGTCAAAGTTGACCAATCACAGGCTTATACCTCTAAAAGGCTTACGGACATAATCCTGTGGCTAAGTGAGGTTACACCTAAAGCCATGCCTGGCCAAAGGAGCTGAAGTAAATACAGAACTCTGTCACAGAAACAGCCATGTTCAAATCATGTCTGCACTGATTTTAAGGTGCAGCCACATTTACTGTTGTTCTGTCGTCGAGAGTGACCGACTGAAAGGGAACTGAAATTCTTGCACAATTTTATTTGACAGCCTCTTAAAAATGTATTTATTCATATGTAAATCCTTTGAAAGAACAGAGTATCAATTTGCGCTTATTAAGGCAATGCCAGTCATTCTCATATATTTGCTTTCTTTTATATGACCACATCACATATTCTTCCAGCATCAGACTAGAAACATAAATGCTTACAAGATTCAGGTGTATCACAGAGGACCCCCCGATGCGAGGCCTCTGCTTGTTTTAGCTGTTTTATCTGGATAGCTTTTGTATGTTTCGCATTTCAGCATTTGCACTGATAGACTACAACAGTATTCCCTCAATGTCATATAACCAAATTCACTGACTTACATTCACTTCACTTATAATTTACAAATATGTATTACAATTATTATTATTTTTTAAGTATTTCTTAAAAAATGCTTTTCCAGGCACAATGAAATTCTGTCTATGGAACACTTGTTTTAATAGAGCTACGGGTAAATTTAGTAAATGTAAAGAATTGTTGCAGTGTGAAATCCAATTTGTATTCACAGAATACAATTCATATGGGTGGTAGCAGGTCAGTTAAGGACCTGGTACCAATTAGGTAAATATCCATACCTACATTATAATTCAAGTCAGCCTTAATTGTACGGCTCCTTTCACAACCTATATTTTATGAATTCTAATACATCTTCACAGAAAGCAATGCAAGGCACACTGGAAAACAGCAATTTAGACCAAATTAAAAATACACAAATCAATAAATAAATTATCATTCTGTATGATTTATATGCTGTTTTCCTCATGGGGACAAAAAAAAAAAAAAAAAAAGTCGAGGGCAAAATTTACTG